AGGGTCGGGTTAGTTTCAGGACAAATTGGGGCTCGTCTAGGTCCCGAATCTTATGGAGTTCAGAGATCCATCAGGGAGGGAGATCCCATTTCTAGTTTCTGCTATTAGGTGGCAGGGGTGTGTGGGGCATTCTGTCTCCAAGAGAAACCATTGCATAATTGGATAGTTGAGGAAGTTTCGCGAGCCATTCGCGAGGGTCTGCCAGACATGGTCGTGAGGATCACTGATAGATTGATAGCGAGGCTTCCGGATCAGACATCTGTTGTTCAGTCAGCAGACGTTGCCGTTGGGGTAACGCAGGAGCGAGAGTTGGGCAGGGAGTCGGAAGGGAAGAGGAAAATGGATGAGACTCAGGTTGCCACAGGTTCGAGTAAGAGGCCCAATAGTTCAGATTTGAGGACGAGGAACTATCAGAGCTGCAGTCGATGCGGGAAGTGCGGAAGGACGCACATGGGTGTGTGTAGGCGTAGAAGTGGTGGCGATGTTGGGTGTTTCAAGTGCGGCCAGATTGGTCATTTTAGCAGAGACTGTGTTGTTACCATCACCCAGGGACTTGATCCGTTGTGTTTCCATTGCAGTCAGAGGGGCCACAAGAAGGCCCACTGTCCGAGTTTGTATTCAGCAGGGCAGGCGCCAACTCCTGCCCTTGGAAATTCAAGTACCGTCAGTGGTTGTCAAGGCCGGGCAAGGGTGCCTACGGCTCGGAGCCGAGTTTCTCTGGTAGATTTCAGCAGGGATTCGAGCAGCACTGAGTAATGGAGGTATGTAACTTTGTGTTTATCAGCTTATGTTATGATTATATTGTTATGGTTTCTGCATCAATTGTGGTATAAGTGTTGTGTTATGGAGTGGCTTGCTTGTGATTACGTCATATGCCATTTTCATACCTCGGATAATTGGTTGGTAGTTAGGGGATGTGCTCATATGGAGAAGTTTCGGAGGATGCAGTAACTGTAGCATGGTAGGGAGAGATCTGGTTCGTTTCGCTAGTTCGGAGTGGATAGTGGTTTGGATGGAATGGTCAAATTCCTACCTGGCGGGCTTGGGTTCCCCAGTAGAAGTTTTGGAATGGTAGTAAAGGTCGGGATCTCTTTTGAATGTGAAGCAGTAAGGGGTAAGCAGGATCGAAGTGGGGGAGAACCCTCCGGGTATACATGGATAAGAGTCACTCAGGATGAGTGCGCGGCCTCTGAGAAGAAGTGGTAGTAGCACAGTGCTGGATGGATTGAGAAGTTCAGAATTGAGAGTTCGAGAACTTTTCCCAGCAGTGGGTTCATGTAATGGAGATGGTTAGAAACTGGTTAGGAATCCAGGATTTGAGGACCACCTGTAAAGGCTCAAGTGAGTCGGAATGAGGATCCGGAGAAAACGGTTAACAGGAGATGTCTTTGTATTAGTAGCCAGTGGCAGAGCCAGCATGCAAGATTATGTGGATTCAGGAGTTGGGAGGTTGGAAACTTCCCAACAGTAGCTTCTTGTATCCGGATCAGTAGACGGTTGGTTTGGGAACCAAGCCGGAGAATTCCTCGACGAAGCGCTAAGTATATCAAGGATATAAGATGTCGGGGATGATGCAGGATTCAAAGACTGAGGGCTGGGATGAGGAATCACTAGCGGGACTAGGGATAATCAAGATGTCCTCGGGATAGATAGTAGTAGTAGTGTTGTAAGTCTGCGGGGGTAGCCGTAGCATTCACTAGTAGTCAGATAGTAGTAGAGTGTTGTAAGTCTGCGGGGGTAGCCGTAGCATTCACTAGTAGTCAGATAGTAGTAGAGTGTTGTAAGCCTGCGGGGGTAGCCGTAGCATTCACTAGTAGTCAGATAGTAGTAGAGTGTTGTAAGTCTGCGGGGGTAGCCGTAGCATTCACTAGTAGTCAGATAGTAGTAGTAGTGTTGTAAGTCTGCGGGGGTAGCCGTAGCATTCACTAGTAGCCAGATAGTACTAGAGAGTTGTAAGTCCGCGAGCGTAGTCGCAGCCTTTTATCAGATTGGTAGCAGCATGAGCGCGTTGTTGAACGCGGGAACATAGTAATTCCCACCCGTTCGGGTGCAGCAGTGGGAATATGGGAATCCACGAGTTAGATTTCGGATTTCCCAAATGGTTCAGTTATGGCTAAGTCAGCAATTTAGGCTATAGATCGTCACATCAGTTATGAGATCAGAGTAGCAGTGGACCGTTGGGGTTCGGGTATGTTAAGGGCTACCGTCAGTCTGGGAACCATCATGTTGATAGACATGGAATGGATGATGTCAGGATGTGATGTATGGACCCGATCGGTTGGATCGGAAGGTTGTTAGAGCCACAGTGACAGGATAACTAGTGGAAACTAGTCCTAGAGGAAGATTTCATTCAGAAGTCGTGGAAGCGTCTAAGTGTGGGTCCCTTGACTCCACAGTTGGGTTTGAGTTTAGTGTCTCAGGCAGCTCAGTGTTTCAGCCAGTTCAATGTTTCAGGCAGCTCAGTGTTTCAGCCAGATCAGCGTTTCAGGCATTTTAGTGTTTCACGCAGGTTCAGTATTGCAGACAATTCAATGTTTGGAAGGTTTCAGGGTTTTGGGTCAGTATTGTATTTGTGTTGGAATGCAAGTGTTGACGGTATAGTTGGTTGATTTGGAAATGGCAAGTCTCTCTCAGTAGGATCAGCTGAGCCTTCGGCCGAGTATAGTGATATGTAAAGATAGCTAGGTAGGTAGCTTTTCTTTCAGGATGGAAGGCTCGAGTTAGTAGGAGTTGAGTAATCAGATGGGATATAAGCAAGCTATTTCCATCAACATCGTTTCAGTATGAGCGGAAGAATGGGTAGAACAGTTATAGATAGTCGAAGTATTTTCAGGAGTCGCTAGAAGCGACTAGGAGATTGCGAGGGGGTGTAGTAACCGGTAGGGTTCGGTAACCCAAATATGGAGACGTCAGTAAGGACCGGGGTGGCTCGGTTCATCCGAAAGGCGGATGAGGAACAACAAAAACTTTCGATCAGTATTAGTGCGGGTAAACAGTCTATGGTGGTTTTCAGTTAGTCGAAATCGGGGGGGAGGGGTACTCGACACCAAGTTATGTCAGATAGGGGCGTCGGTGGTTGTGGCGGTATTGACCCGTACTGGAATTTGGCGGGGGTGATGGAGTTGGTGAAGTATAGGACCTTCACAGTTACAGAGAAATAGTTGGTTATAGAACCTTGCCTTGGGAAGGCAAGGGATTTGCGCAAGGACAGGAAGGGGTGAACCCCTATAGGTTCAGTTCAGTACTCGGTGAGTACCAGAAGGATTGCCAGTTGAGTAAGTTGGGTCTCCAGGATGTTCAGGGTCAGGGTTGACCCGAGATGTTATCTGCAGGGATTAAGGTTAGTCGGAAGGATCGAGCAAAGCCAACAAGGGTAGGCAGCTGGTGTTGGAATAGTTGGTTGGGTTTTAGAGGCAGCTCGCAGGCAGTGGGCCATAGCAGACTTCGAGGACGAAGTTTAGTTTAAGTGGGGGAGAGTTGTAACACCCAAAGTTTCAAAGACCAAGAAAGGAAAGAAAACCCTAAGTTTAGGGGTCGACTCGGCGAGTCCAAGGAGGGACTCGGCGAGTCCGAGCGGGATCCGGGTCGGGGAGTAAGTGACCGACTCGGCGAGTCGACCAAGGAGACTCGGCGAGTCTGGTCTGTGCGAGGAAAACCCTAATTTTGGGAGTTGTATCCTATATAAAAGGGAGTTATGCCCCTCCCTCAACCTCCATATCATCCTAGAGAAACTGTAAACCCTAGATTCGTGGGAGCCTCCATCATTTGAGAGAAATAGCTTTGGGGGAAGGAAATCTTGGAAGGGACTTGAAGATCAAGAAGGTGGCTTCAAAGGAGAGGTGTAGATCCGAGATCTACTTCAGTTTGTGTTCTTCTTGGAGGTATTAAGCTGCCTTTTCCCTTCCTTGCATCTAGATCTATTTTGTTATGAGTTTTGGAGGTTTTATGGTTGATTAAGACCCATTTCGAGTGGGAAGCTCAGATCTGAAGTTGCTACTTCAGATCTAAATGTATCATGGCCTAGAGACTCATAAAGCATCAGTTGTTGGGTTGATTGTTGAGCCCCTTTGTCTTAAACCCGAGTTTATAGTGTTTTGAGCCTAGATCTCCTCAGCCACACGTAAAGTTTGCCACTTTACGTAAGGAATAGACCTTAGAAGAGTGGATCTACAGTTTGGAGTCCATGAATGACTCAAAGGCCCTCTGCATGTATGTAGAACCGAATGGACTCGGCGAGTCCTTCGAGTGGACTCGGCGAGTAGCTTGAAGATGAGGAGGAACTCGACGAGTGGGATGAACAGCTCGACGAGTCGAATGAATTTGGGCAGGAACTCGGCGAGTTGGTTGGAGATTGCCGTGTGCTCGGCGAGCCTGTTCTTGGACTCGACGAGTCAGGTCGCGTGGTCCCAAACCCTTCGAGTTAAGACTTGAGTCAGCGAGTCGAGCCAGGACTCAGTGAGTTGGATAGGACAAGACTCAGAAATCAGTAGACTCGGCGAGTCAGTGGCTAACTCGGCGAGTCGAGTCGCGAACAGGAATAACTCTAAATATATGAACTCGGCGAGTCAGTTTGGTGACTCGGCGAGTAGGGTTGTCCTGGAAGGTTGAATGTGGCCGGGACTTTAGCATTGTTAATAGTTGACTTAGTTGACCATTGGAGGTCAGTTAGACTAAGTGTTACATTGATATTGGTAGCTCGAGGAGCTAGTGGAGCAGCAGTTCGAAGACAGAGGTCAGGTAGCGGTCAAAGGGATTAGCAGTAGCAGTTCAGCAGTATCAGGTGAGTTTCCTTCCAGTAGGGACGGGTCTAAGGCCACAATGCCGGCCCGTCCAGTTAGTAGTAGTTTCCAGACTTCGGCCCGATGCAGTAGTTAGTATGTTTGATGCCTTTGTGGCTCAGACAGGATCTATGTGCTATGTTTTATGTGTTATGTGTTATGTGTTCCGGGCTACGGCTCGATGTAGTGTGCAGTATATGTGTTCATGCTAGTTGATATGTTATGCTATGCTATGTTCAGTCAGTTAGCCCGGACTTCGGTCCGATGCAGGGGACAAGGTCCCAGTCAGTTTCCGGACTTCGGTCCGATGCAGGGGGCAAGGCCCCAGTTAGCCCGGACTTCGGTCCGATGCAGGGGACAAGGTCCCAGTCAGTTTCCGGACTTCGGTCCGATGCAGGGGGCAAGGCCCCAGTTAGCCCGGACTTCGGTCCGATGCAGGGGACAAGGTCCCAGTCAGTTTCCGGACTTCGGTCCGATGCAGGGGGCAAGGCCCTTGTTAGTCCGGACTTCGGTCCGATGCAGGGGACAAGGTCCCAGTCAGTTTCCGTACTTCGGTCCGATGTAGGGGGCAAGGCCCCAGTTATCCGGACATCGATCCGATGCAGTGGGCAAGGCCCAGTATGTGCTTTATATGTTTTTGTATGGTATGTGTTAGATTGGGGGAGCTCACTAAGCTTCGTGCTTATGGTTTTTAGTTTTGGTTTCAGGTATCCAGTTTTCAAAAGAGGAGCTCGGGGAGATTGCAGTGCACACACTGTAGTCACTTAGCCTGGGAATGTTCGACTCTGATAATGATATTATGTTTTGAATTGATACTCGAGAATTTATGTTATGACTTATGATACAGTTTTTATAAATATGATTCTAGTAATGCTTTTAAAGAAATTTTTGGTCGTGATTTTTGGGTCGTTACATCGTATCTCAACCATTAGGGGAAAATATGGGATTTTCTGGATCTAATAGATTCACTTTCAACACAACAAATCACAACTCTTTACATTTGAAATGCTGTGTTTTCTGGAAAATATACACCCATTTTGGAATGGCATCCAATTTTTCTAAACTACTTATGAACTCACCAACTTAATTGTTGACACTTTTTCTTTGAAATAACTTGTATTCTCAAGGAACCGCTAAGCAGGTTTGGGAATCAACTTTTGGGGTTAACGCGCTGGCGTTAATTACTTCTTTTGGATGATGTTTATGTATTTATCTTTTGAACATGTAATGAATACAATTATGTAAACATCTTGGAAACTTTAATATATATGGTGGTGTGTACTTTCCTTTCTATGAACTGTTATGATACTGAATATGACGTCCTCCGCCCCCGAACGTTTCCGTCGTTCTGGTTTGGGGTGTGACAGATTGGTATCAGAGCTTTGTTTATAGGGAATTAAGTATATCAAAACCATTCCTTTTTGATATACAACTATAAACTCAACTGGGCAAAAACACTCTAAGAAAAATTCATACTTTTGAAAGTAAACCTAATTAGTTTTAAGTTAAGCATGCACTCATTTTTATACTAATAACAGTTTCATAGTAAATAACTTTAGAAGTATTATAAATAAGTTGTGCAGCACAGGTACGCCTTGGGACATGTAATCGGAACTGGGAAGAATATAGCCTGATCAACTATATTTGTCCAAGAGCCGACTAACGTATGCCAAGGAGTGTCTATAATGGACAACAAATTTAAAACTTACCAAAAGCATATCGCTAAAGAATATTGAGGGAGTATTCGAGTGCCGTCAACCATTAAACTTAAGGGTAAGTTTCATGTGCTCTAGCTTATAGTAAACTCTTAACTCTATTCTCGTACAGTCTAAATAGCGGGATTCCATCACCCCAATGACCCCTACTACCCCAACCAAGGTAATGGAGGGTGGATTGAAGATGATCCTGAAGAAGACGAAGAGCCTATAGAGTTGGAGGGAGGGGATGACTCTGGCACGGATTCGGAGCCAGAAATTATAAATCCACCAATCCCACAATCTCCCGTCCACGTGAGGAATGTCCAAGGACCCACTCCAGTGTGGGGAAGTCACCTCCATCATTAGAGCCAACAATAAAGCTTACGCACTCCTTACAGCATGTGTCGAGACTTCTATGATGTGAGAGGCGGGGGATCAGCCGACCGAGCACTTCCGGTCATGGTTGGCAAACTCGCCAACTAGTGCTACCAATCCGGAGTGCAAGCCAACCGAATCCGAGAGGTCAATGTGGAAGTACAAATCCACACGGCCGATATCAACCGCCTAGAGTTGTTGCAGAACGACATCCACATTCACGCCGAAGCGTTTCAAGCACAAGAAAATGCGGCCTTCGCAGAATTAAGAGAACAACAAGCTGCGTTTGATAGACGCCTCATGGAGTCGAAGCAGTCCGACACGGAGTCGAGCTCCAAACGCAAAGCGCACCGCAAGTAGTACTTGCCCAACTCTCAAATTTTGTTATAAATTAGGACTTCAGATAAAAGTATTATCTTCTTTAAATTGTTCTGTAATCGGAGGCCTTTAGAAAGGCCAAGAAATTTTTTCTAGACCCCGCTGTAACACAACTATATGTTTAATATATATATATAAGGGTATACCCCTTTTCTTGTTGTTGTTAATCATGCGCAATTCGTTCGATTCATTAGTACATCTATTCAAACTTTACTTTCAAGCTCAAGACATTGTGTCAGTCAAACCCAACTTCTTAGAACTATTAGAAGATAACTCAATATCATTCAACTCTGAACTGCCAAAACTTATAAATTTTTCCATATATTTTTTTTTCTTTTGGTAGCACGATGCTCCTCGTCCAAACCTAAGGCCCAGGCCGGGCACGGTACCACCACCACCTCCACCACCAGCTTATGATCCAGCCATGGTCCAGGCTGCTATCACAGCAGCAGTAACTGCATCCCTCTCGCAAATAAACTCTCATGGAAATGGAGGGGCGGGAAGCAGCATGAATCATCCAAATCATGGCACTGGTCATGGTCAAGGAAGAGAATGTACTTACAAGGAGTTCTCTAACGCTAAACAAAAAACTTTTAATGGAACTGGGGGAGTCATTGCACTAATAAAATGGTTCGAGAAGACCGAAACGGTCTTCGAGATCTGCTCATGCCTAAAAGCAAGCAAAGTCAAGTTCGTTGCTTGCACTTTCGTGGATCGAGCCCTCACTTGGTGGAAAAGCCATGTGAATTCAGTGATGCTCACTGTTGCCAACGCCATGAGTTGGGACGATCTAAAGGTTCTACTACTGGAAGAATACTGCCCAAGGGGCAAAGTGCAAAAGCTGGAGCAGGAGCTCTGGAATCTGAAAATGACTGGGCCTGACCTAGTCACCTACACAGCTAGTGTTTTTGGGGCATTTTAACATGATTTTGAGGTGTTTACGGCCTAAGCTTGTGCTTGGTCCGTAAACTCTCTTTTGTCCCCTAAATCATTGTTTTTGATGTTTAAACACTCCTAGGCAATCCCCTTAATTTATTTCCAAGCCTATAGGGACAAGTTTGGGTCATTTTGGCCTTATTTTGGGTGTTTTCGGCCTAAGGAGGTTCCTAGGCTATAAACTCCTTTTTCATAGCTTCTATGTCCGAATTTTGGGCTATAAACATGATTAAATATGTTTAGAATAAGCTAGGGTAAGCGGACTTACAATTTGGAAACGTTTGGTTGCGGTTTCGGGGCGAAAACGTGTCTACAGAGAGAGTATAGAGAGAGAGAGTAAAAAGTCTCCAATAGACTCCACTCACCCTTATATAGGATTTTGAGTCGGGACACAGTGGAATTCTACCCGATACTGCCGTTAAACGGGGCTTTTGGTCGCACCCGATTTAGTGGTCGTGATAATAAACTAATATTTTTCCAAGTAAATGGAAATATGTGTTATGTATTTTATTTCCTTCTATCACGACTTAACGACATATAAACATACACAATTGAAATGTTTATTGAACTTGACGACTTCTCATTAACGGAACTTTTGAACAGTGGAATATTCCGTTAACGGTAACGGAGAAATGTAACGGGGCAACTTGGGTTGTCACAACTCACTAGCTTAATGCTGATAAACTCTTTCAAAATAACTTGTATTCTCAGGTCATCAGTAGACAGGTACCGAGGCCAGCTTTTGAGAAGATGGAGCGCATTCAAGACTCATCTTATTATTTTGATATACGTTATTTTTGGTGTCTATACTGTACAGAACACGTTTGTATTAAAATTATATATTTAATGCAATGGATGATGTTGTTGTTGGATAAGGTGTCTAAGTCCATAACTATTTCTGGTATGTACTTGACCCGACCCGGCATGGTCCATTTGGGTTGCATGGCACCGTGCAATTGGATAGACTAAATGAGAGAAATAACACTTGGGGATTATTAATATATTATAAGTTCTAATATATTAATAATATTATTTGATTAGTTTGATCAAGAATTAATTTAGAATTAATTATGTGATCAAAAGATAACTAATTAAATATATGGGTTGATTATGTAAATCATCCATATCTTGTATAGTGGGCTAAGAGGCTCCATGGATTATCAAGTTGGGTTCCACCCATAGGATGCTCCATGGGAGTTACAAACCCATGGGTCATGGAAATGAAGAGTCATGACACATTAGGGTTTAACCCTAGATGTGTCAACACTATATAAGTAACATGTTCTCCACCTAAAATCGGCTACACTAAGAAATAAGAGGGCTTGGCCGATTTTTGAGAAGTGTGTGTTCTCTCATAAGTTCTTCCAAGAGCATTTGGTGTTGTGTGAATCATTTGAGGCATCACACTTGGGGTGCTAGGCTCACAAGGTTTCAAGGAACACAAACAACAACAAGGTAAGTTATTCTATCTATACTTTAAGATAAAATTGTTCCCCATGTATGCTAGATAGGAATATAACCTTGGAATTCAACTTTGCATGATAATTAGACAAACATAGATCCAAGGTTATTAGGGTTGCATGTACACTTAGGAAGTGTTAGAATGCTCAAAATCCATGAGTTGTTTGCTTATTTACATTTACTGTGTTGTGATACTTACATGACGTCCTCCGCCCCAGAATGTTTCCGCCGTTCTTGGTTTTGGGGTGTGACAGATTGGTATCAGAGCATTGTTTATAGTGAATCAAGTGTATCAACCCATTTGGGATTAAAACTCTCTGACCAAGAGTCTATACTTAAAATACTAAAATATTTAATTAAGTATACTAGTCTACATTGATACTAAAACCAGTGTCACAACGACAAGAACAAAAGTATTACGATTGTTAAATATCACAGGTACGCTCGGGGATATATGGTCAGTCCTGGGAATGGCATAGCCTGATCAACTATGCTGGTCCGAGGAGTGATTAGCATATGCCCTAGAATGGTTGTGATGTGTTAACAAGTCTAAAAACTTACCAACAATACCACAAGAAGATTCAATAGAACCTAAACTTAAAATATTATAGGTGTATTTTGTACTACCAACTACTTGTATACTATATCTTTATACCTCTCTTCTCGCATAGATTAAAATGGCTGGATTCCATCACAGCGACCCGTACTTTCCAAATGAAGGCAACGTAGGATGGCTCGAAGCAGAGTCTGACGATAAACACCCAATCCCATTGGATGATCATCAAGCTGAAGGCTTCTCAGATGGATCAGACTCTGAGCCTGAAGTCAACAACCTACCTCCAGTAGGTCAAGCCCCGAACAACGACCCTCGACCAGCTTTTCTAGGTCCCACTCCCTTGTGGGTAGATAACTTAAATCGCT